GTTCTCTGAGTAGCTGCTGGTCTCTGAACTGGAGTCGTCGCTCAGACCGTTACACTGATGGGATCGCACTGAGGGTTCATGAACACTAGGGGGCCTCACCGCGCTCTCCACCTCGTCCTCCACGTTCCAGTTGCAGCGCTCTGCACTGAGAGGACGAAAAGGAAAAAGATTTAAAACAGAGGTATCTCCTCTCTGCAGGTCATGGGTCACGTGCAGCTCCTCCTGAAACGCCTTCAACGACTCCAGAACATCAACTTGATATTTACGAGCAGCAATATTTGGATAATTTCAAATTTTACTATTTTTAATTTTTATTTTTTACAATAAAACTACTACTGACAATTACTTTTTAAATTATTTATTATTTAATTATTTTTATTATTATTATTTCAAATCCAAATTTGGATTTGGACCATCCTCACTGAAGGAGGGTCACAAGGTGTGTGTCACCTGCTGAGGGGTCCGGGGTCGCAGATCTCGGCGTTCAGAAAGGGGACGAAGGACGCGCTGCAGAACGGACAGGACGAGTTCAGGTTGGAGTCGTCTGACGTCCAGCCCGCCATGATCTCCTCGTCGTAAACGAGCGAGTTACAGCTGCGACACAGAGAGCAGCTCGACATCAACACCTGGACACACACACACACACACACACACACACACACACACACACACACACACACACACACACACACACACACACACACACACACACACACACACACACACACACACACACACACACACACACACACACACACACACACACACACACACAGAGGAGACAACATTAACACAACGAGGACAAAGAACAGAAGGCACTGTGCTGAAATGATCGACCCCCTCTTTACCTCTAGCCCCGCCCCCTCCTGATTGGCGTCCCAGGACCTGCGCAGAGGATAGGCTGGACTCGGCATGTCCGTCAGGTCCAGGTCACTTCCTACTGACAGCGAACTCTGAAAGGACGCAAATCAGGGAAGCAGATTATTAATCACATAACTCAGCAAAACATCGTCACAGCTTCAGTGAGATGGAGAACGACACTTTGATCTACAAACTTCAGGACTGGAGACGGAAAAAATCACAAATTTAAGATATTGGATGAAATTCAGAGAAGAATGGAGTCTGTATTTTTATATCAGTTTTTTGTAAATTGGACATTTTCTCCCTCCAATGTCCAAACAGGGAACTACATTTTAAATCTGCATCAAAAACTAACAATGCATCAAAGTCAATATTTTGTATGATCTTTGACATATCCAAGACTGATTTTAAAAAATCCCCCAGCCACCAAATATTTGTTTTATGGAAAATAACTAATTTTTGTGTTTTTTTCATAAATAACAATAGTGACATCAAGTAATCACCACTGTTAGGAATCTAGGAGTTCTATTTGATCAAGATATGTCTTTTAGCTCTCACATCAGTCAAGTTTCAAGAACAGCCTATTTTCACCTTCGTAATATATCTAAGATCAGGAATATCCTGTCGCAAAATGATGCAGAAAAACTAGTTCATGCATTTGTTACCTCCAGACTGGATTATTGTAACTCTCTTTTGTCAGGGTGCTCTGGCAAATCTCTAAAGACTCTTCAACTGGTCCAGAACGCTGCAGCTCGTGTACTGACCAGAACCAGGAAAAGGGACCACATCACTCCTGTCCTGGCTTCTCTGCACTGGCTCCCTATACAGTCTAGAATAGAATTCAAGATCCTTCTTCTCACCTACAAAGCTCTAAATGGCCAGGCACCATCTTATCTTAAGGAGCTACTAGTGCCGTACTGTCCCTCGAGAGCATTGCGGTCCCGGAGTGCAGGCCTACTAGTGGTACCTACAGTCTCTAAGTGTACTATGGGGGGTAAAGCCTTCAGTTATCGGGCTCCTCTCCTCTGGAACCGCCTTCCAGCCGGAGTCCGGGAGGCAGACACAGTCTGTATTTTTAAGAATAGACTTAAAACTTTCCTTTTTGATAAATCTTATAGTTAGTGCTGGTGTAGACCAGCTCTTAGTTATGCTGCTATAGGCTTAGACTACCGGGGGAACTGGCACCTTGAGCTCCTCTCTCTCTCTCTCTCTCTCTCTCTCTCTCTCTCTCTCTCTCTCTCTCTCTCTCTCTCTGTAAATCTCAGTCACTAACCACCTACTTTCCTGAGAGCTCTTGAGCATTTCTGCCTTTTAATAAGAAAGTTTTTTCTTACCACTGTAACTTTTGCTGCTTTGCTAAAGTGCTCATGATGGATAGGCCGGATCTTTGTAACATAACAATGAGTAAGGTCTTTTACCTGCTTTTTGTAACATAACAATGAGTAAGGTCTTTTACCTGCTCTTTGTAAAGTGTCTTGAGATAACACTTGTTATGAGTTGACGCTATACAAAATAAATTGAATTGAATTGAATTAATCAAACTGGCATTTAAAGGGTTAAATTCCTAAAAATGATTGAATGTTTGGTAGTTTTGAGCAGGGCTGAAGTTGTTTAAGAGATTTATGCAGAAAAAAGTAGAAAAAAGTATCAATCTGTTTTATTTTTATATCAGTTTTTTGTAAGTGGACATGTTTGTCCTCAGTGACTTCAGAGGGTTTTAAATTAAACTGATGCCTGAGGGTTAAAAGATGGAGACAGCGTTAAACATTCAAACCTCAGACGTAGCGCTGACCAGCCTCTCTTTGGCTTTCAGCAGCGTTTCAGCCACTTGAGCTTTCCTGGACTGCCTCTGCTCAGACACTCTCCGTCCCACCCCTCCTCCTCCTCCTCCTCCTCCTCCTCCTCCGGGCCTCCTGTCGTCCACGCTGGCGGCTCGTCTGACGGACACTCGGTGTCTGGTCGGGGTGAGGAGCTGCTGCAGTTTTCCTGCCAGACCTCCTCTGCTCGGGGAGGAGACGTTGTTGTAGTTCTCGTCTACGGCTTTGTTCCTGCCAACCGTGTCACGAGTCCCGGCAGGTCTGCAGGACAGAGAAGGAATAAAGTTTGATGATGGAGGATAAAGACTCAAAAACCAGGTGAAATATTACAGAAAGAGCAACAGTGAGGTAAAACAAACTGGAAACAAAAGGATCAAATACTAAAAGGAAGTAAAAATCAAAGAGGATTTTAAAGGCTTTATATGTGATGTTTTGATCCAGCAGATGTCGCCCTTGAGCTCCAGCATGAAACCAAAACAATTGACGCTGCATTGTTGTGTTAGCATGCTAATGCTAGCGATCTTTATTCTGCTGGTATCTTCACACTGCATGTAAATTGACCTGAAATTTACTGTGAAAACATCACAGACAGTGGGACTCGGGTGTTACACCCATTGTAGACAGTCATGACTCACAGAGTTATTTTCAGAGGAGATACTTGATTTCTACATTTAAGTGTGAACAATCACATTTAAAGACTTTAAATGATCCTGTTTTTAAATGATTTGGTTCCTTACTGACCTGCCGTCTCTCTCTGCAGGCTGGCAGCAGTCGGGCTCGGATTCGGCCGACTCTGCACAGTCTTTGTAGAAGGTGGAGAGGCAGACCTGACTCCGACGCACCACCACACCACCAGGGGCCGCCGGAGGAGGAGGGGTGGAGGTGTCTCTGCGTCCCATCGGAGGCTTACAGGAGGCGGAGTCAGTGCAGCCGTTGGTCCCCGCGTTACTGAGGATGGTCTTCTTGCAGAGCCTCAGCCCTGCAGGACAGAAAGAGACACTGAAGGACGCAACGCGACAAAAAGATCACCTGACAGTTTGTTTCAAGTGAGTAAAAAGTGGAGAGATCCCTTACTATTAATATGAAGAACAGATCGAAACATACTCTCTGGAGACTAAATGTTGGAATTCTAAACAATGATACAGTTTTAAAAGCGGTTAAGAGAGAAATCAGTGACTGTATAAAAGATAACAACAATGGTCAAGTGGATCCAACTATACTATGGGATACCATTAAAGCCATAATGAGAGGGAAATTAATTTCAAGAACTGCATACTTAACCAAAACGAAGAAGGCAAAATACGAAGAGTTACAAGAGACACTGAGAGGACTAGAGAAACAGCAACAGGAAAATGGAGATAGAGGACTGACTAACCAAATAAAAGAAACTAAAAAACAAATAGGGGACTTCTTGAATGATGAGCTTGAAAAGAAACTGAGATTTGCAAGACAAACCTTCTATGAATCAGGTTCGAAAGCAACAAAACTATTAGCGAGACGACTCAGGTCACAACAAATGCAACACTCAATACACAAGATTAGAGACCAATAAAATAACCTATGAACCGACTATTACTAAACCCTGTACTCACAGTCTGAGGTTGTAGAGGAAGAACAAATAAAACAGTTCCTATTATCGTTAGATCTACCCTCAATAGGAAAAACACAAAATGATAATTTAACTGCACCCATAACAAGAAAACAATTGGACATAGCGATCAGAAAACTGAAAACAAATAAATGTCCTGGGAGTGACGGCTTTCCGAATGAGTGGTTCAGGATATTTAAGGAAGATCTCACGTCTGTAATGCTAGACTCTTTCAACTGGACACTCAATAAAGCAATGACACCACCTTCATGGAAACAAGCTGTGATATCTGCCATCCCTAAAGAAGGTAAGAATAGAGAATGTTGCGGATCCTACCGTCCAATCTCTATTCTGAACGTAGATTATAAATGATTTACATCAATAATCTCAGCTAGAATGGAACACTTTTTGCCTGATTTAATAGACGAGGACCAGACCGGATTTATAAAAGGACGACAAACACAGGACATCAGGAGAACCCTTCATATTATTGATCAAGTAAACAAACAAAACTTGACAGCAGCCCTGATAAGTCTTGATGCAGAAAAGGCTTTTGATAGGGTTAGTTGGCCTTTTTTGTACAGAGTGCTAGAAAGACTGGGCTTTAATAACCAATTCATTAAGTGTATTAAAACTTTATATAAAGACCCAACCGCCAGAATCAAAATCAACGGCCATCTGACGAGCAGTTTTAAACTGTTCAGAGGTACTCGTCAGGGATGCTGCCTGAGTCCTTCTCTATTTGCAATGTTCATAGAGCCTTTAGCTCAAGCCATCAGACAAAACAAAGAACTTAAAGGTGTCAACATAGCAAGGGAGGAACATAGAATTGGATTATTTGCAGATGACATTATAACTTACCTCCAGGATCCAAATACAACTCTCCCCCTACTTATGACAGTTTTAGATTTAGACTACGGTAAGATATCTGGTTATAAACTAAACATCACAAAAACACAAGTACTCTCTCTGAACTACAAACCAAACCAGCTAATCAGTCAGAAATATTATCTAAAATGGGAAGCAAAATCAATGAAGTATTTGGGTGTGCTACTCACTCAAGACCTGAATAATATATATGAAGCAAATTACAGCATTATTAACAATAAGATACAGAAAGATATGACAAAATGGTCAACGGTCATGGTATTGGACTTTAGTTCAAGACTTGAGGCAGTGAAAATGAATGTGTTGCCGAGGTTGCTGTATCTCTTCCTTTCACTACCAGTCAGAGTCCCAGAATCTCAGTTTACAACTTGGGATAAACAAATATCTCGGCTAATCTGGGCAGGTAAAAGACCAAGGGTAAAATTCAAGACTCTTCAAATCGACAAGGAGAACGGAGGTCTAGCTCTCCCGAATCTTAAGGAATACTTTTATGCTGCCCAAATGAGATTCATTGTGTGTTGGTGCTCTTCAGAGTACCAAGCTAGATGGAAACATATTGAGCTGAACGTGATGCAGTTTCAACCCCAGGCCAGACTAGGTGGAAAAGAAAGTATAGACAAAAAAGTGGAGAACTTTATTTTAGAGGGATCACTGAAAACATGGTTTGAAGTCGTTAAGAAGTATAAACTGGAAGGGGATAGTAAACTTCTGATATGGCCGTCTCAGAGCCTTAGATTTAAACCTGGAGTGATGGATAATACATTTGCTAAGTGGAGTGAAAAGGGAATAACAGCTATATGTACACTCAGAGAGAGAAAAAGGTTTAAAACTTTTGAGAAACTGAAACAAGAATTTAAGCTAGAGAATGGGGACCTATTTAGGTATTTACAGCTCAGACATTTCTATGATACAGAAATAAAAAAAAAGAAATCTCAGCTGAAGGTAGCGAGGTGGTTCAAACTCTGATTGGTGCTTACAAAAACACTCCATCAAAGATTGTTTCTAAACTTTATAGAAGTTTGCAGAAACAGAATGGAAGCAATACATGGTATGTTAAGACTAAATGGGAACTAGAACTGAATACAAACTTGTCAAAGAGTGACTGGCATTCTATTTGTGAAACACAACAGTCGTCCACAAGCTCTAGAAGGTGGAGGGAATTTGGGTGGAAAAATGTTATACGCTTTTTTGTCACACCCCAAATAAAAAATAAGCAACTCGGTATTCCTCAGCAATGTTGGAGACAGTGTGGGCAGATGAATGCCAATAACTCACATATTTTCTGGTTATGTGTAAAATTGCAAACATTCTGGTGTAGGGTTATTCAATCTTTTGAAGATATTCTATGTTATAAGATTCCCAGAGATCCCCGGATTGTGTATCTGGTCCTGATTCCTAATGACTTGATCCATAAGAAGGATATCTACCTTTTTAAAATCCTGATTCTTGCTTGTAAAAAGGCCATCACAAGGAACTGGTTGAAAAGTGATCCTCCAAGTCCAGCACAGTGGTTGGCCATTGTGGAAGAAATTTTCTCTATGGAAAAATGCGAACTCGATCACGGACCCATGATCAACGCTGGAAAAAGTGGACTGATTACCAACATAAAAAGACAGATAGTGATATCTGCTGTGCAGAAAAGACTTAAGAGGAAATATTGAGACAGAGCCCCTCACTACTTTGATGTGTGTTTGTGTATGTTTTGTTGTGCTTTATGTTTGTTAAATTTGGAAATAACAAATAAAAAAAATAAATAAAAAAAAGTGGAGAGATCAGGCTGAGATAAGTCAGGAAGGTTGTTTCCTGTTGCAGCAGCTCTGAGTAAGTAGAGTCTATAGCTTCTGTTCAATGTCCAGACTAAACTACGGAGGCCCTGAGGGGACACGGGCAGAATATTTATATTAAGTGTCTGAGGCACACGTGATATTTTCTCATGAGTACCAGAAAACTACTTTTTTATGTTTTTCTGCCGATGTCCCCTGACTGCAAATTTCCACATACGTCCGTCAGCATCACACACTACGGCGCCGTTCACTCCAAAACAAAATGTTGTTTGCACCGTGTTCTCTTTATTCCCGCAGTGATCTGGTAGCTCTCCTGTGATGTGTGTACAGCTGCTCATGGCTGCACTTAACTCCAGAAACCGACCATGTGGGGCGGGGCGAGCGCCGTCCGACAGAGCAAAACCTTGGCGCTGACAGGAGGCGGCGTGCACGGAGTACTGGACATTGGCAGCTAGCGGCTCCAAAATGTTCCCTTCTTGTTATCTAATTAGTTTGTAACTTAAGTTGTGTTATTGTTTGGTTGCCATGGAGACGTTAGGTACATCTTTACTAGTAGAGTTCA